GGTGACTGTGGGCATACTCGAGTCTGCACCCCCCCCTGAAGAACAATAACAAGCTTCACATTATGTGGGGAATAGATAAACTCACCAAAGTAATCCAGCCACTCACTAAAGATATACCAATAACAAGCCCTGGAAATTTTACTAATATATGGAACTAAAACAATACACTCCAAAATACCCAATGGGTTAAGGAAGAAATCAAAAAGGAAACTAGAAAATACTATGAGAGGAATGAAAAATAAATATACAACATAAAATTTATGGGATGCAGCTAAAGCAGTACTTAGAGAAAATTTTATAGCTGTAAAGACCTATATTAAAAAGGAAGAAAAATCTCGATAACCCAACCTTCCAACTTAAGACATTGAAAAAAAAAAAAAAACTAAAGCAAGCTGCAGGAAAGAAGTGATAAATAGAGCAGACATTAATGAAATAGGGAATAGAAAAACAATAGAGAAAATAAAACCAAAAACTAATTTTTTAAAAGATCAACGTTGACAACCTTTCACTAGATTGACCAAGAAAAAAAGAATCAGAAACAAAAAAGGAAACATTACCATAGACCTTACAGAAATAAAATTATAAAGGAGTACTATGAACAATTGTGTGCTTATACATTAGATAACTTAGGTGACATGGACAAATCCCTAGAAAGATAGGAACTAAGAAATAAAGGGGACGACCAAAATGGTGTAGATGATAGAGGCTCTGTTCATCCCTCTGGCAACCAAAGTTGTGACGGAAACAAGGAGCAGCAGCCAGGAAAAATCTCCTGGAATCTAGATGAACAAGCCATACAACTAGGGAGAAATCCAAGAAAGCGCCCTGCAACGGCAGAAGGGAGGATGAGGCGAGGACGCAGGGCTGCCTGGTCTTGAGTGGTTGAGTGAGACGGAGGCTGCGGCAGCGGCCGAAGCCTCTTAAAGGGGCCGCGTCGGCGAGCAGATTTTCCCAGTGACAGACCTACTCGCTCTGAGCACTAGTACTGGTTCAGCTGTGTGCAGGGGGCACCAGGGACTTACAGGGAGACATTGTCCGAGTGAGGGCCGAGGAGAGACTCATTCTGTACAGAAGTACCTGCGGTATCCATTGTTCCCTGTTGAGCCCTCCCCTGTCCCAGTGCTCTGGACACAGCGCCGCCATAGCTGTGACGTCATCAAACTGGATAACAGAGGTCACTCTGCCCAGAGGATTCCCTGAAACCCTGCCTCCCCCAACTTGAGGCCCCACCCAAGCCACATTCTGGTATAGCTTCAGCGAGTCAAGTGTGCCTTGCTGAGGAGCACCTAGACTCACACTGGAGCCAGCTGGCCTCAGTTTCTGGTGTGGCCTTTTGAGGCAACTATAAGCACAACATCTGTGGATTGCTTGCTGAATCTTAAAAGGTGGCCCCGGAGGGGCAGAGGCTTGGGCTAAATTTGGCCTGCAGCTGAACCCCTCTCAGGACTGTGCCACTGGACACCTGCTACACAAATCCACACTAATAAGACTGGGAGACTTAGGAGCTTTGCTTAGTACATAAACAGACGTGGAAAGGCAGCCAAAATGGGAAGACAAAGAAGCAGAAACCGTATGAGAGAACAGAACAGAGATCCAGATGTAATGGAGTCAACTAATCTAACAGATGCAGAGTTCAAAACACTGTTTATAAAGATGCTCAATGAACTTTTGGTTAAATTCAGTGAGAATTTCAACAAAGACATAAAAAGCATAAAAATGGAAATGGAAATTATAAAAAGGAACGAGTCTGAAATGAAGAACACATTATCTGAGATGAGAAGTATATTAAATGGAATAAACAAAGGAATAAACAGCGTGAATAAAGAAAAAGATCAAATGCCCTATCTAGAGGATGGGAAAGCCAAGGACACTCAATCAGAATGGCAAGAGATAAGATGCCAAAATTGTAAAAATATTTAAGGAGCATATGGGACACTTAATAGTGTCCAAATATCCATCTGATCGGTGTAACTGAAGACAAGATGTTGAACAGCTGTTTCAAGAAATAATGATGGAAAACTTCCCTAACCTGGTGAAGGAAATAGACATACAACCCCAGGAAGCTCAGAAAGTTCCAAAAAAGATGAACCCCAAAAGACCAACACCAAGACACATCATAATTAAAATGCCAAAGGTTAAATACAAAGAAAGAATATTAAAAGCAGCAAGAGAAAAACAGATAGTTACCCATAAGGGAACATCCATAAGACTGGCAGCTGATTTCTCAAAAGAAACTATGCAGGACAGAAGGGCTTGGAAAAAAATTTGACATGATGAAGACCTAGGATCTATAACCAAGAATAATCTATCCAGCAAAGCTATCATTTAGAGTTGAAGGACAAATAAAAAGCTTCCCAGACAAAAATAAGCTAAAGGAATTTATCACCACCAAGCCACTATTACCGGAGATGTTAGAGGGACTTCTTTAAG